CTAAGCCACACATCCCACTTCGGACTAGCCAGGGTCTGTGTTTTGGCCACTGCTGACCCAAACACATCCTTAGCGATTTGTAGGGAGTGCGGAGTCCAAGGTCAAGCAAGCAGTAACCCCAATACTAGGGATGTATAGCGCATACTATAGACGATGATAGACTATAGACTATAGTAGAAAATCGGATAAGGGATTTCTATAGGATAGGGTCCCCAGTAGGGGAGATGTAGGTGATGAACTGGTTCTAACTTGAATGTTTTTCTATCTAGGACTGGACCTCCCTTCTGGCAGTGACCTTGCAATTGATCCTGCACTCACCAGTCGGGCTACGCCGCTACACGAGCTTCCTGACCTTCCTTACTATCCAATTTCACCTAGTGTGATTCTTTGTTGGGCATTTCCCTTTCAACAACTGTCCCCACGTAGTTGTGGAGCTTGGGATGTGGGTGGATAACAAGCCACCGTGTTACTCAAACTATGCAAGGTGGAAGCATGAGGCTTGAACACACATGCCATCGCAGGCATTGGTGAACTCCGCCACAGGATCTCCATCAGCCTGACGGGGAGCAAGCTTTCTCGAAATTGGGGGGCCCTTAGAGACCTGAGTAACTGGGAAATTGGGGTTCCAACATCAGGGAGGCCCCAAGTATCGACCCAAGATACTATGCAGTCGAACAGCACACATGCGGCCACCAGGAAAGATGCGGGCTGTATCGCGTAGGGATTCTATACGGATTATACAGGGTTTAGGCTTTGGATACTAGACCCAGCAGCCTGCCTCAAACTTTGCAGCAGCCTCAGATCAGTGGCAGAGCGGAAGTAGCTCACGCAAGCCCGCTTAGCCAAAGGGAGGTGACTGATGATGACTTCGATGCGGGCGTGCTGTTCTCTAAAATTGAGGGACCGTTCACAGGGAAAGAAACTTTTGCGCTCACGTGGCTGTTTGGAATCTTTGGGCTAGACGGGTGCAACTCGAATTTTGACAAGCAGCTATTGCTGCAACCATGAGCTCCCCGAAGAGCTCAACTCCATCAGGCTTCTGGCCCTGCACAGGGGTGACTGGTGGCAAGTAGGGAGTGTAGGAATGCATCAAATTGTGTATTAGACCTTTGAAAACCCTTACAACCCAGTCCTTTGTTCCCTACCGTTGCTAAGCACCAGTAGGTTTATAGACTTCAAAGGGATCACATTTTTGAAGCACTGTGTGTGCGTGCCTGGTCCACCAAGCACAGGTTACGAACTAGTAGCAGACAGCCACGCCAACAAGAAGGCAACAAAAGAAATATCCCACAATGCAAACGCAAACAGAAAATACATTCGAAAATGAAATGGAAACTACGCTGATGTCCGCTGCTGACAGCCATGATTGTGCTATGCACGCTTAGCGTACCTCTTGAAAGAGAAGTAATAGGAGAAGCTACAGTCGAAGCACAACAGATTAGCCTAGCTAGGAGAAGGATGTGCGCCCTTGAAGCTTCTGTACACACAACTGCCTTTGCCGGTCATTGGCACATCCTTATGGCCTTTCAATGTGGCTGTGCAACAACGTTGCATGCCTTTTCAAAAGGCAACATGCATTCCAGTAAGAGGCCTCGTGTGGTTCAACGGCAGCTGCCAGCATCTGGAAGCTGTCCCGGTCAAAGGAACAGACCTGGATTCTCTCCAGCAAGGCGCTGCATAGCATAGCGACAGAATGTCTGAATCGACAAGAGCTCAGGAAGGCATGTTAGCAAGCATGAATGTAGTCTAGGGCATTCTCAGGAAATATCCACGTGCTACCATGGGTTTAAGTTGACTGCGGCTGGAAAATTTTGCGACCTACTTCAGGCCCAAAAAATTACCAATCTGAGGTCTCTTTGACGTACCCATACATGTAACAGACCTCTTTGAAGTACCCTACAAATTTAGCAGACCTGGATCCAGAATTTTAGTAATTAAACTGTTAGGCTTACACAGAAATTATCCATGAGAGGTCTGTTGTCTCAGGCCCCCACCTTCGAAAGCATTCGAGGCTTGCCCTTGTCGTCCTGTTTGCGCCACACGGTTCGTGGATTAGGGTTTGAGTGCTTTAGAGTTGAGGGTTCAGGGGTTCAGGCTTACGCCTGTCAGCAGGATCGACTCCATGTTTGTTTTCAAGGCTTCCTTCCTTTTAGAGGTTTAGGGTTTAGGCTAACCCCAAACCCTAACCCTCAAACCCCAGACCTTAAAAACCTTACTCAGCCACCAGTACCATTAGTTGGCCCGAACCGGTGGTTAAATTCAATCTGGTCGCGAGGATATCATAAGTAGATCCATATCCCATCCTAAACTTGTGATAAGACCACCCATACCAGTTCTCAAGCTCTTACCTCTGCAAACACCATCAGTGTTTAGGTATATCATCCCTCCACAACTCCAACCACACCCTTTCCCCGAATTGTGTTTGTTTCATCCAACTATCAGGATGGCATGAGAGTCCCTCCACATAGAGCGAGCAGATTATTTCAACCCTGGGCCCGGCACCGCGAATCAAAGCACCTAAACTCCTCCAACCCTAAGCACACAGCCTTGAGCTGGGTTGCTGTTGAGCAACTTAGGTTTCAGTCCAGTTACCATGAGTTGGAAACACAGTACATAGCACAGCTTCCTATGTCGTTTAAGCTCCAGCAAAGCGGTCAGGACCCTAGACGCTACGCAACAAGCCATTTGGCGCTGAGCCGTGCTGTCCATGCAGCTCTGGGCCCCAAGCTCCCTACACACGAACCCCCAATCCTGGGTTTCCCTACTACACAAGCTTGGCTCAGCCACAATTAAGTTTGCCTAGTGAAAATTAAGGGGCTTAACTCCCTCTGCCCCAGCCAGCAGGGCGAGGGGAGCTTCTCCAAACAATCCCGTTTCGGGTTTAGGGTTATCCCTGTATAGTTCCAAAAGTCCTCAAAGGGACCCCTTGAAGTGTTCCTCCATAACCCCTTTTTACCACTAAAACACCCAAGGCTAAGGCTGCTCCGGCTAATACAAACTTCCTAAACCCTGAACCATAAACTTTCTCTCACGCAGCAGCCTGGTAAGATGACAGCAAATCAACCCCTGACCTTTGAACCCTGAACTCCTGGATACCCCAAGGCCCCCAAACAAAACCCTTTAGCCCTAAACTCGGAACCCTAAGCCCTAAGCCCTAAACCGCAAACCCTTGTATCATCCCAGTATCCATTTCATTTTCCATAATTTTCCATGTGATTCGCCAATGTCCCTTCTATACCACTGAGTACCCCTGCTATGAACCCAACAACCCTAAACCCGAAATCCTTCACCACTGAACAATAAAACCCCTGAACCTCACCCCTCCCTCCCCAACAAAAAAACAAAACAGAGCATTGAAGGGTTCTGTCGTGTCCTGCCCGCCCAGCAGAGCTGCCGCCAAGCGCACGTCGCCCTTGCACTCATCAACTTTTTAAGGACCGACATGGGGCTACATCATGTTTAGGGCTTAGGGTTTCAAATATAGGGATACCTAGGAAAGGGCAATGAATAGCTAAACATCCAGCCCCAACTTACGACCATCACACCCTGAACCGTGTTAGTGCTTTCCACTTGTTTTTCGCTCCCCACCCCTCTAAAACCTACACCCAAAGCCACCCAAAGCCGTCCACCTCGCCAGATGCGAAGGTGTAGTTGAAAGCCAGCTCAAAGAATTCGAAGCAAGGCTTGTAGCCATAGCCTTCAGGATACATAATAAGGTCTAATGTAAGGTGGATATGCAAGGATATGTCAGATTCGGAGTTTGGCGATGAGACTGCGCACTCCACCAGCTAGGCAAGATAGCAAGCTGGGACAAATCAGGGATCCTCTACTGTGTCAAGGTATGCGGGAAGCCGAACCCCAGTATAGATCCCAATATACTATAATCCTTATGATGGGGACCCTCCAAAAGGTGCTCCTAATTTTGGGAACCCCTAATCCCTAGAATCCCCTATATAAACCCAGTTTCCATGTCATTTTCCATGTTCTTTTCCATTTGATTCTCCACTATAGTAGGTACCTAGGAGCCTATAATATCCCTATATAACCCCCTTATAGTAGCTTCCATTTTCTTTTCCATTATCCCATTATATACCTTAATATATACCCTATAATCCCTACATAAGCCCTTTATAACCAAATATCAGAAGCTTGCCTCCAATTTTCTGGTACTCGGTGAACTTCCGACTGCCGGCCTCAGTCGAGGAGGCCCGGCAAAGACACCACTCTGTACAGACGGCTTTCCCAGACGATTAGGGATCCGTGAAAGGTGCACCATGTCTATATGGTTGCAAGTTGAGGGATTGCTGAGGGGTTTCCATCTTCTGGATTTTGTAGGGTTGACGGGGTCAAGCCCTCATCAGCGCCAACCAAAAGTGTAGGCCGAAACAACAATAGTTATGCAGTCCTCAAATAAGCTGTTGCCTTTTGCATCCAGCACTCATTGCTGCAGAGTCCGTAAAACTCAAGCATACAACACGCCTTCTCCCTAAGCCCAAAACCCAGAATCCTACACCCGATGACTGCAGAGGCTGAGATGCAAGCCACCTTGGTTCTCAGAGGCCTTAGAATCATGCCCAACAGGCAATTGAGCGGCCCACAGAAGGGGCCTCTCAAAATGGGGCTATGCATTAGAGTGCCATGGGTCTCATATCTCACGGTTGCAGCTAAGGCTGCCAACAGCCTTTTTGTTGCTCCCATGCCTTCTCAAGCATGCTTCTTCGTCCTGCCCTCCTCTGCACCTGCACCGTGAGCACTTCGACATTCTGATGGAAAACATCTCCGTCAGATGAACTTCCGAGCAGTGGCTCCTCCATGATGCCAACGGCTTTGTCAGCTCACGTCGCGGTTCCAGGAAATGTCGTGAGGTCGCTGGACACCGCCGCAGCTCCAAAGGGCGCAACGGGGGCCTCGGTGCCCAAATACTTGGCGGCATGCGTCGTTGGGCGCAGGTGCGAGACAACACCGGCAGCCAGATGTCTTCGCACGAATGCTTAACAAAGCTACCAACTCCAACCTCCAGCATCTGTGTCCAGTACTTCGACACCAGCTCGCTGCATTTGCACAATTGCCAAGCCAACAGCTGACGCACCTGCAAGCATGGCAGCTAGAAGGTCAGGGTCTACAGTTTGGAAGCTTGGGATTCAGGGTTCAACAGACAATTACTTCGTTAATCATGGGTTGCTCTGAAAAGGGGTAGTCGTAGGGGACTAGACTTTGCGGATGTGCGAAATGCATGCTAAATGCCAGTGTCACACGTGGGTGCTATCTTGAAGAAGTCACACATTGTCGCGCCAATCATTTGTAAACATGAAGTCTCCAATGCGTTCTAGATCCCGATCTTGGGGGTTAGAATTAGAAATACGTATAGGGCCGTTCTTTTGGTTTTGTTACATCTCTCAATCCACTAAACCCTAAACCTGAAAAAGGCTACACCCCAAGTATTAATTCCAGATTCCTGTCGGGGCATTTCAGTCTACGCCATGACAAGGTCCAGTGACAGAGCTGGACATGCCCAAAGCTCGCAACCCTCAAAGCAAAGAACAGCAATACCAATGGTAATAGTGATAGTACAAGAAAAGCATAGTAGCAGTAATAGTACGGTGGCAATCAAAATAAAGCAATAACAACAAGAATAATACCAATAATGGTCATGGTAGTAAAAAAAAAAAAAGAAGAACAGAAAGCCGGGTAAAAATATATATATATATATCAATAAGTTACTCTTGGTTAGTAGGGAATAGGGAGTAGAATCACTGTATAGTCCCTATCAAATGTATTCCCTTATTCCCTACTAGCCCCTAGTAAGATAGTAGTCGAAATGATGGCAGAAGCTGTTTTGCTGTCAACAAGGTCATCCTGGCGGGTGGGGTGAGGTCAGCCAAACTGAGACGAACGAGACTACTTGATAGGGTTGAGGGTGTAGGGGATTAGGGTCTAGGGTTTAGGGTTTAGGGTTTGGGGTTTAGGGTTTAGGGTTCCCGAGACAACAGCTGGAGATGTCCCATGACTTTCATCTATGACATCCCAACTTTGGATACCCACTATATACACTCACCCAAGTTTTAAGGGAATCCTATATACCTTCACCAATACCCTTAATTAGCTTTCTCAGACTCTCGGCATAGCGAATGCACGCTTGCCTCTGCAAAACTCTCGCCCATAGATCCTCACCAACACAGGATCCTGGTCTGCCGTCTTTTCAAAGTTCTCAGTTCGCGCCCCACATAAGTTCAAGTCCACCACCAACCGGATCTTCCCAGCAAGGCCCTGCTCCTCGAGCTGCGCTGCAATTTCGGTGGAGCTTACCCGCACGCAGGAGGTCGTTGTGCAGCCTCCAATAACCAAGACACTGATACCATTCCTTGTGTGGGAGAGTCTCTGGAAGCTTCGGGCATGGAAGAAGATTGGGATAGGTAAGACATGCGCTGCTATTTGCTGGCCGGGCATCCTCACTTGTTCATGCAGCCATTTGAAGAAGGCAGGGTTGTATGTGACATCCATGGTCGGCTTGTGAATGCAGGGACGCTCCCTCAGGAAAGGTTCCACCGCATCAACGTAAGCCTCATCCTGCCGCGGGCTCAAGTAGCACTTGGTGCACAGGATCGGGGTCTCAGCAGACACGCGCCCAGACGCAAGCAGTTTCGCAGTCTCGGCACAGGCTCTTTCGATATCGAAGACCTAGCAGTTTTCCCAAATGACTGTTCCCCAAACTGGACAACTACTACTACTGTTACTGCCACAACCACAATACTGAACTATGTGTTTCCTATGAATCCCCAGTTTGCATTTTCATTTTCCACAGTATTTCCCGGCTGATTCTAAATCATCCCTAAACCCTATATAAAACCTAAACCTTAACCGTCATAATGCCTCCAAGGGACTGAATCTAAGACAATCCCTAAACCCTAAAACCTAGAACCCTCAACCCTAAAACCTCAAACCCTAAAACCCTAAACCCCTAAAACCCTAAACCAATTGAGTACAATCCCAACCTGGCTCTTGCCTCCAAGATGGAAGGCCCAGGAGCCTTCCGTGAAAGCCTGGTTCAGGGCGACTTTGGGCGGTCTGGGTGGGGATTTTAGGGTTTAGAGTTCGGGATTAAGGGTTTGGCATTTAGGGTTTAGGATTTAGGGTGTTGGAGTTAGGGTTCAGGATTTGGGGTTGAGGATTTAGGGTTTGGGGCTTAGATGGGCCTGGAGTTAAGAGGCATAATACTTGTGCATAAAGATGCTGGACAGAATAATGAAAAAGTATGCTAAGGGATGTGCTAGATATGTGAACCCCAAACCCTGAAAACCCTAAGATCCTAAACCCTATAAAGCCCTAAAATCCCGTAAACAAAAAACCCTATAAAACCCAATAAAACCCTGAATGAACACTACTATGAGCAGCTCTGGCAAGTGGCTTGCCTTCTGCAAGTCAATCAGCAGCAGCGCAGCTTTGGGCTTGGCGCCTTCCTGACACCACTGTAAACTTCTCATATTACGCGCTTTAGAGGGGGTTTAGGGCTTTGGGTTTAGCGTTTAGGGGGCTATATAGCGGATTCTATAACCCTTTTATTTAGGGTTTAGGGTTTAGGGTCTAAACTCCTTCAAGGGGGTTATACAAGAGATATTATATACATATATATATATAGGGGAATATTTTAGGGGATATTGAGGGGGGACTAGACTATTGACGACAGCTCATATTTAACCGTAATTAGGGCGTAGGTTCTGCAGCAATTAGTTTGAACTTTCAAGAGCAGGGTAAGCATCCGAATGTTTCCAGTGTCAATGAGGGGACCCTAGATGGTGAGAAATGCACAGCTGCTAGTTTTGCAGGACCCCACTTGTGAGGATTCATTTTCATACTGCGAAGACCTGCTATCGTTGCTATCTTCCCTGAAACGCCTTCCGCATGCAATGAAAGCTTTCTTGGAAACCCTCCCAAAGCTCAAGATCTCCCTGAACTCTACACCTTAAGCCCTGAATCCTAAACCCTAAACCCCTAAGCCCCTACGCCTAAACCCCAAATCATAACCCTAGCTTCGAGCTCTAAAGCTGCTTAGCACTAAACACCAAAGTCCCCAGACACTCCTCGGCTTCCGCCATCCGCACAGCTGCGCGATGCTTGCGATGGCTCGACGGACTGAAGACAGGGCCTGAGGGCTTAGGGTTTTTTAGGGTTTAGGAGAGATCCGGATATTCGAGGTAAGTGTTTTCGGCTTCGGGTTCAGAGGGTTCGGGCACCATCAAAACCCTAGTCCCTGAGCCCTAAAACAACCCTCAGACCCCAAACCCTAAGACCCCAAAACCCTAAACTCCTACCTACCCAAATTCCACTCAAGACAGCGGCTTCCTGGGACGCCAAGGTGCCAAGCACGCCCAAAGCCAGAATGGCTCTGCAGCAGATCCTGGGTTTTAAGCGTGTACTGTTTAGGGTTTAGGGTTTAGGGTTTTGAGGGTTTTGAGGGTTTTAGGGGTTTAAGGTTGTTAGGGGTTTAAACGGTTTGGGGTTTAGTGGTTTAAGGGTTTAGGTTTTAGGGGTTTAGGGGCTTAGGGTTTAAGGCTAAGCGTTTAGGGTTCTGGTTTGGGGTAAAGTTTGGAAGTTTAGGGGTTTAGCGGTGTAGGGGTTTAGGGTTTAGGTTAAGCGTTTAGGGTTATGTAGGGGTACATGGGGAATGAAGGAATGCAAAAGACAATGCAAACTGATCCATTCTGGCGGGTCATATAGGATGACCATAAGGATCCACTCCTCCATTCCCTGCTAACCAGAGGTAAGCTTACATCATGTTTAGGGCAAAGGGTCGGCTCAATGAACTTGAGTTGTAAGACGCAAGATTCTACGCAGCAGGGCTTATGAAATATGGCCGTGCGATATAGCTTGCTGAATAATAGAATGCTCGGGATATGGAACTTTCAAAAAGTAAGGGTACCTAGAGCCTGGGGATATCTCGGGATCACAAGAGGATGCGGGTCCGTGCTGGATATTACATGGGTGGTATTCTTGAAAAATTCATCGGATTCGCAATGCAAAAATTCTGTGATGTAGGGATCCCTAATAGCCAGGGTTCACACAATAGCGGATTCATAGCGGCGCGCGTTCAAGGATGCAAACACCCTATTAAGGAGGTTTCCTGAAAAAGCTGCCTAGGATCTTTTGGCGGAGGCGGGAGCCTTTTGATGCAAGCATGCGAGGAGCGAAATCTTGAGCCTCACTGCTTTTCACATTCATGCAACCATCTCTGGGTCCCTCCCTGGCGGCCTAGGAGTCAGTGCCTAGGCACCTCAGAGACATGGAGCGTGCTGGTTCGAACCACACACTGCGCAAGCATTAACTATTGCCCATGCGCAACTCGACTTCAGCGTAATTATCTGCCCAGAGTTTGAGCGCAAATACGCCAATTGCTGAAGGGTACCTTAAACTTAACGGGCGGCGGCTAGAGCTGTAGTTGCGTTGTATCAGATAGCATTTTCGTAGAGGAACCAGAAAATTCAGTTAGCATTTTCGTAGAGGAACCAGAAAATGGAACTGCGAGGGAGACCTACCCACAACCGTGCTGCTTCCAAAATTGCTACGGGCAAAGGACAGTCCAATGTGGGCAATGTGGGCGAGCACTCGCAACGCAAATTTCGTTATTTCTGCATGACCACGCCTCAGGTAGGAAGGACGCAAAAAGCCCAAACTCCCAACCCTGAAAAACCCTAACCCTCCGAAACCCTGACCTGAAATTGGCATGAGGTCCGCACTCCAGCGCAAAGGGAGCTGCCTGCTAGGACCATCCATGAGAACAGACATAGAAACAAGGGGGCCTTAGGGTTTAGGGTTTAGGGTCCCAAACCCTAAACCCTAAACCGAGTGTGAGGGTCTCTTCTGAGGATTGTACAGGGATGCAAATGGGTACTTCCCACGCATAAGTTACACAAAAGTGGCCTTGACAGAGGATCCCCAAAATAAAATGAGGATTGCGAGGGGATCGTGAGCATTACCATGCAGGATCCTCTGAAGGCCCCTTTTGCCAGACCCTATGATAAGGATTATAGTACATTGGAATCTATATCTGGGTTGCTGTTAAGAAACTTAACTAAAGTTACTATAACAAGGAAACCCTATGACTTACCATATACCCATAGTATTGTAACTTAAATCCCTAAAATCCTGAACCCTATATACCCATGTTAGGGTAACCTTGACGGCAACCCAGATATTGGGGTCATGGAAACTATCATCTGAAGCAGAAAGCATGATATCCAATGGCCTTCCAGAAAGCCGGGTGCCTCGGCCGTTAAGGTTTAGGGTTCAGCGTGTTGGCGTTGGGTCTTGGATTTGAGGCTTAGAGCCTGGGGTTGGATTTAGGGTCTGGGGACCTCACGAAACTTTAAGAATCTCTTCCCCCCAATATGAAATCCCTAGACTAAATGAGTAAATTCACTCAGGTGCCTTAAAATCCTGCAGACTACCTTTAAAACAGTAAGACTACCTTTAAAAGGGGCCACCTAATAATTCATGAATTAAAGGTGGAGATTTGTTGATGGCTTTTGTAAGGGGAATTATATTAAAGAGCCTAAGGGATATCGACTTGGAATTAGAAACGTTCTCTATTTCCTGGAATGTTCGTGCTTTTCGCAGGCTTGAACTCATGACTTAAAAGCTAATTAATGATTTAGCTGGTTAATGTCCAATGATTAAATCATCTCATTCTTTTGATCAGTTGATTATTCATGTCCATGAGTTCAAAACGAAGTTCTTTCAATAAATAATTTATCCTAATAAGCAAGAAGGCTTTCGGGCCCCGGATTATTTGATATTGAGGGGGACGTCGTTGAATGTTAGGGGGGAAGCCATTACTGGAGCGTCAAATGGAGTATCAAAATGATAATGACATGGACACTGGAACATGTTTCATATCTATACATGCAAATGTCAGCTTCTCATGGAAGGGCTTTTGCAAATGGTCCTTTTCTTGTGGTTTCGGGCTTCGAGCGGTAGGGGTTTGGTATTCAGGGCTTCTCGCTAGCAGAAATTGGCTCTGAGCCCGGTGCAGCTTGAACTTGAACTTTGCAGCAAAGCGGAATGCACGGCAAATTCGCAAAGGGTCATCGATTAGAACCTGACAGGAGCGATGCACAATGGAATCCAGATGCCCAAGACCTGGGAGCACATATTGCAAAGTAGAACCCCCCAAAATCCTCCCGAATATGGTACTCCGCGCGACCTTTCGTAGGTTTTGCGAATCTTTCAGGTGCCTCTGCTTTGCTCTGCCAGGTGCTTTTTAGCCAATGAATACATGGACGAAGCCCTGTAGTAGTCTCTGTAAAAACCCTGGTTATAACCCCGTATTCCATTTCCCATGCCCCAGAAATACGGTGGATACTTAAGATCCTGCATGACGCTAGGTACCTTATACCCTGGGAATTATGTTACTATTGTATACAGATCATGAAGGAGTTTTAGCATCACAGTAGGGCTATAAATTCCTTCACTCCCTACCACCATCCAACACGGAGCTGTTCACCCTCATGGTGCTCTCTTCGGGTCTCAGTACCAAGCATGGCCAGATCCTCAACCCCTACAACCCTAGAGTTTAGGTTTTAGGGGTTTCGGGTTCAGGGCTTAGGGTTTTAGGGTGTAGGGTTTGAACCCTGCAAATCCTACTAGATCCTTTCAGGGATCTGGGATCCTCCGTCCCTCGTGCAGCTGGCCTTGCTCCACCACAGGACCTGTACCTTCGCCGACACTGAAGGCAGGCCGAACTGTATAACGTATGTAGATGCTCTGTATGGAAATATGTCATACGTGAAATGAGTGTATCTATTCATACATATATATATATATATGTATGATTTATAGACAAACATTCATTCATTCATTCATTCATTCATTCATTCATTTATTCATTCATTCATTCATTCATTCAATCATTCATTCATCCATCCGCCTGTACATACATACATACATACATACATACATACCTACGTACGTACATACCTACATACATACATACATACATAGATACATACATACATACATACATACACACACAGACAGACAGACAGACAGACAGACAGACATACATGCATGCATACATAAATACATACATATGCAGTGATATGTACAATATTTGGATAGGCGAGAAATGTCCTCTACATTTACGCTAGGGATGGGTCCAAAATTATGTGTACCTTTCGGGGGGGGTCTCCATAATAAGAACATAAGAAATCATATATATGACGGTCTATATTGGAGTTCCTCTATTTAGGGAAACTCTATTATATATCTATATATCTCTCTCTCTCTCTCTCTTTAAAAAAAAAACAGAGGTAGGTCCCTGGCAGCTTCGTCAGGTGGCAAGTCTTGAATCCCCAGACTCTTTGCCTAGGGAGCTGCAGAGAAAAGGGAACCGCCATTCCTTGACCATGTACAAATGCAAGTAGTTCTGCCACTCAAATGGGCAATTTTTCAGCGCTTTATCATGCATTTTCCCACACAACTCATGGAACAGAAGCCTGAATGCAGGACACGCACAATGAGGCACATGAACTTGGCAACCTAGCACTCACGCAGATTGCGAGCAAGCAGGGTAAGCTCTTTTTTGCCAATCATAAATGCTGCTTGAAGCTTGCTATATGCTCAGAAGCTGCAGCTGCCATCTGCTTGGCGGAGCGCTTCGCGAACACAATGCCGCAGTCCGCTGCTATTGGCTCCAGATGATCAAGAAGATCATGGCGCAATGCCAGCTTCCACAAGAAGATCTTTCACTACAAGATGTTCAGGGGCTCAGGCGACTGATTGCTACGAGTACCAGGTGATTCAAGCCTGATCCAGCACCCGAAGATAAACGACGTCACCCAGTGCTTTTGCAATGCCAACCACGAAGAAGAGGCCAAATGCACCTTCGAAAGACAGGAGGCGGAATACGGTCTAGATAAGCAGCTGATGAAATCTATGCCACTTTTCGACACTTTGAAGCCCCGGATCTAGGGTGCTGCATTTAGAGCAGTGCATTCTAGAGCTGTCAATGTCAAAATGGTTTGGCAAGCACCTACTTAGACTCCACTGCTGTTCCATTTTGGAGCACATTGTGGGCCTCTTCAATCCGCACAAACAAGTGCTCCGTTAGAAGGTCGAGTTAAACACCCGTTACACTCGTGCTGGCTGGAAAGGGCTTAGGGTTTAGGCTTGGGGTTTAGGGCACAGCTTCCAAAGTCCTTCCAGCCTGCAGGCTTTGATCTTCAATACTTTGTGGGAATCATCAGGGGGCTTAGAGTAGGACGTGTTAAAGCAGAGCGCAGGGCCTTCCGCAACTGGGACCAGCCTTTCAGGTATACTTGAGCTATCGTTGACAATGCTCTCACCATGGTTTCATGAAGGTTGTTGGGATCTCTTGAGGGATGGTTGCAGCAATCGCTCGAAGTTCTAGATCACAGTTGTCTGCAGTTGTCGCCCTTGCGCAATTTAGCGGCCGAAGTAATCACAGTAAGGTTTGCGGGTATGTAATAATATGCTCATTTACGGAATATGATGATGAACTTGTGCTAATTGTATGGGCTTTTGCAGAATCGGGTTTCGGGTTTATGTTATACTATGGTAGACCATGGTTATACAATGCAAGTAGATGAAAGGGCATCACTAACCCTGACCCTAATCCCTAAACCCCAGCTAGTAGTTTCCATTTTAATCTTCCATTATCCCAATATTACCCAAACTCTAAGCCTGCTTTTCACTTTACTTGGATCCCTGCCTGCCACGAGCCGAGAGACCTCCCCATTCTGCACGAGAACATCGATGACATCCGCCGCCAAACAGACGGACCCAATGTTGTTCTCTAAGTTCCTCACTTTAGAGATGAGGGTTTAGGGTTCAGGGAAAATAGAGGGTAATATGGGGGTTAGATTGGGATAATGGTAAATAACATGGAAAATACATTTTTGGGTTTAGGGCAGATTATGGATCAGGGTTTCAAACTAACAGGCCGAGGACGTCATGAACATGTTGCTATGTGGGTAGTTCCCAAAATTAGGGTCCCATTTTGATACCCCTAAATATTAGGTGCCGTAATAGAATATTACCAAAAGGGGCCCATAATTTTGAGAACAACCCATATGGGAACTGATCAAACATGATTCCTATGTAATCCTGCCAGGCCTCATACCGCTAATTGACGTAGCCTCACAGTAGGGCCACCAAAGGGCCTTTTGTTGAGAAACCTTTTCCGTAAACCTTAAGCCCCAGACCTTAACCCTACCCCGTACACCATAAATCGCGAGCGCCAAGCCCTAAATCCTAAACCCTGAGGCCCAAACCCTAAACCCT